GCTGGAGGAGGAACTGGAAGCTCTGTGTTTTCAGTGGGTGAGACAGATTCAAAGCGACAGATGTGACCGACCCCCGGGCTCAATCTCACACCTTCGTCTTCATCAGACTCAGAGAAGCCACGATCGTTGCTCAGCAGCTGCATCCACAACAGTGTCATATGAGATTCGGAGAAATAAACTGGCGAAAAACGCGTTGAACGATTACATTTTACATATGTGATTAGAGCTTATGTAATTACAGCTGACAAACTCCAACTCGCTCTGGCTCCTGTTGACTTCAAACATGGAAAAGTGAACTGCTCAAGCTCAGTTACCGTTGGTGTCACACTCACCTTTTTGGGCTTAAATCTGTGGTTAAACGCCATCTGTATTCTTGGTGTTTTTATTGTAATATTCTCTTTGTAAATCCAGAAATAAGCCATATAAGGATTGACCAATCAGACGTCTTCATTCGCAGACCAGAGAGATAGAACAAAGAGAGAGTGCAAAGAGAGACCTAAGACACACAAGAGAGAGACCAAAGAGAGAGAGACCAGAGAGACCAGAGAGAGACCAGAGAGAGAACAGAGACCAGAGAGACCAGAGAGACCAGAGAGACCAGAGAGAGACCAGAGAGAGACCAGAGAGAGAACAGAGACCAGAGAGAGAGAGAACAGAGACCAGAGAGACATTTGTTTTAGCAAAGTCTTAGTAACACATCTGCCCCTGTTACAGCTAACACCTTGGAACAAATGCCCATTTTAGGAAATTGGCTCCAGCTAGCTTAAAGACCTTATGACGGGTTTGATTTATTTAGAAATACAGTTTTAATACCATTTTATATTAGAAGAGAACTACTAAAGGTTTCAAAATCAGTTGTTGTTTTTTTTGTCTGATCCCCCCAAATCGAAATAACCCCATAGCAACGCCCTTAGAAACGAAAAAACTTCACAGCCCTTGGTGACGTCAGAACGGGTACGTTTCAATGCTGTAAGTTGTTTACAATTTGGTATTCGTTCTTTTTTCGCGGATATTAAAGATGACAAAGCCGTGTACAGCGAGTCTAAGATAACTACTAGAATGTATCATTTTGTTGTCACTGAGATAGTCCAGTGGTTGTGTCGATGGACTGCCAACCCAGATACTTGGGTTCAAATCCCACCTCGGACACTTTTTCACACTCAAAACGGCAATTAATGTGTAGTGAGCAATTGTCACCTGTAGAATGCAGTATTTTGTTGGGCATCAGTGGAGAGAAGAGAGAAAAGGAATTCCTGTGGCATAGATCCATGGTTTTCAATGCATGGGCGTAACCCGCTATGACGTCACACACAGGTTAGAGCATAGACAACTTAAATTCATGAAAAACACGTTCTTTTTATAAAATATAGGATTTTTTTTGCCGGAATCTCTTTCAAATTGACATTGTCATGCAATTTTGATATCCACTATTTTAAAAAAAAAAACCCGTCATAAGGTCTTTAAGCTCAAATCAGCCTCTTCCACATTAAGGCTAACACTGTCGTGATGTCACACTCAGTCAGTCCAATCCTAATATCGGCTCTATGGTCTAAACCTGGGGTCCCCAAACTTTTTCCTGTGAGGGCCACATAACTTTTCCCGTCTTCAATGGGGGCCGGGTCACTTTGTAACAGAAAAAGTGTGATGATTGCAGCCTTGAAATTGTTACTAACTAACTGCAAAAGTCCAACTTTATTATCAAATACACATATTCTCTGTTCCTGGTATTGTTCAGGGGGCCGGAGCAAATGTAGAGGCGGGCCGGGTCCGGCCCGCGGGCCGTAGTTTGGGAACCACTGGCTAAACAGACACAGAAAACCCCATATCTCTCGACCTCTAGTTTCAGGATACAGAGGATACAGACGCCCAGGGCCCACACACACTGCAGTGATTGTAAAGACCGGCTGTAATTGAGAGGTTGGAAGCAAAAAACAACAGAAGCATCTTTCTCTTCAAAAACATCCAGGAACAAATAAAACAGCATGAGGTTCCATTTACGGCAACGAGGAGGACGATAATGGTGCCTTGTTCCACAGCGGTTATCGACATTACGGGTTAAAGGGTTAAAGATTTCATCATCCAAATGTGTCCTTATTAAATCTCTAGTTGGAGTGGGTTGAGGTAATCCAGCAGAAAAGAAAGAAGTTGTAATAATATAGTTAGAAGCTGGGAATTAGTAGTAAACCAAGAAATAATTCAAAAGTATTATTAAGTACTAACTTGGATGAACTAAATGCTTTGGTTTTAAACTTTTTCATGGATTTAGGGTTAGGGTTAGCACTGAGACCCACTGACACAAAAAGTCACAAAAAGTCCTGGATCTACAGCCTCAGTCCTGGATCTACAGTCTCAGTCCTGGATCTACAGTCTCAGTCCTTGATCCTCGACCTCAGTCCTGGATCTACAGTCTCAGTTCTGGTTCCTCGACCTCAGTCCTGGATCTACAGTCTCAGTCCTGGATCTACAGTCTCAGTCCTGGTTCCTCGACCTCAGTCCTGGATCTACAGTCTCAGTCCTGGATCTGCATGTCTGTCGATGCATTTGTCCAAAGTATAGAAAAACTCCTGCATTATCATTCAACTAAATAAAAATACTGTATAAATGTATAATTTGCATGTTATTGTACGTCTTCTTCATGTAACAGTGGCTTCATAGAGAGACATGCCATTAGGACTCCAACTGTTTACATTTGCTGACATTACCTTTAAATCACCTTTCATCATTGTTGAATTCTCTGATAAGTCACAATCAGCTGTTTTCCGGAGCGCTCCACCTCTCAAGTCAAAGCCAAGAATGCAATGTTTGAATTCGTTCTGTTTCATTTTGCTTCTGATAAGTTTTGTCTATTTTTGTCTTCAGTTAATGCTGGGAACGGTCAAGGCTGCTCCAAACTACAACAGTGCCTTATCAAACCAGCCGTCACAAAAGAACCCACTATTTATGTTTATATTGGGAAGTACCCACTGCCAGCTTTAACTTTCCCTTTTGACCGCTTTCGACGGACTTCACAGGAATCAACAGGGCTTCTGTTTTCAGTCCAAACTTTCCCAGAATAGATAATTGAGCTGATGTGTTTGTGCGAAAGCAGTGCTCAGAATAACAAGGCATTCTAGTTTTTCGCGTATGCGTGGGACCGACGGGCGAAGGTCAAGTCCACTGCACCAGAGGCATGAGCGCACTCACGTCAGCCCAGTCCCCAGACCTGGATCTACAGCCTCAGTCCTGGATCTACAGCCTCCGTCCTGGATCTATACAGCCTCAGTCCTGGATCTATACAGCCTCAGTCCTGGATCTATACAGCCTCAGTCCTGGATCTATACAGCCTCAGTCCTGGATCTATACAGCCTCAGTCCTGGATCTATACAGCCTCAGTCCTGGATCTATATAGCCTCAGTCCTGGATCTATACAGCCTCAGTCCTGGATCTACAGCCTCAGTCCTGGATCTATACAGCCTCAGTCTCGAATCTACAGCCTCAGTCCCAAATAAAATAAATCTAAGTACTGGATCTACAGCCTGCCCATCCGTTGGAGCGGATCCCTCTATCAATATGAACTTCCCCAAGGCTTTTTACTTCTTTCCCCACTGAATTCCTGAGTGGTTCTTTGCCGATGCAGGAGGATCCGGGACTTAAATTAACATTTCTGGACAGTGGTCATCCGCTCCCTATGGACCAACGGCTCTATATGTTTGTTATCATTGCATTTCCTGTGTTTGAACTGTTCTTTCCTCTGATCTGTTGTTGGCAGCTTTGTAAAGTCCTACGAGACTTTTGTGATTGTGGGCTGTAAATGCATTGAATTGAATTGACCTGAACTTTAAACAGCTTATATTGTTGTGCTGTAAAGTGATAGCGACTGAATTGTCATCCTAATGTCCTCATTCATTCTTCAAACTCCAAAAGTCGGTTTCTTGGTTTGATTTTCTATAGTCTAAAACAAACAGTATTTTGAAGAAGAAAAAAAAACATAAAACATAAAAAAATGGGGTTATAACAAAATAGTTATCAAGTGTCCAACAGCACAAAACATAACAGTATTATAAACATGTTACTTTACATATTTCTGTTAGGAGCCTTGTTCGGTTGGGATAAACATGTGTTATTTATGGGGAGTGTGAAAGTAAGATCCCCAGCTTTAAGTAAATACCAGCAATTCCAGAAATGCCACCAGGTTGAAGGCCATTACAGTAATAGCACATTTATTGAGAGGATGTGGATGACGATCTTTCACACAAAGACAAGATTTCAAAAGAGAGAAGATCTTGATCCTGGCATCTGTATTCTGATCTGAGGCATTTCATTAAGTAATTTTGTTTCTATTTTGGTCAAGCAATAACCAAAACACACACATTCTTTCTTTCTACTATCGCCAGTTGTCAAATGGGTCAGAAATGTTGATGTTTTGAACAATTCTAATGGCTAAAACCTTAGAATATGCCTCTGTCAAGTAAACACAAACTTCTGGATCCTAACAAAGCTACAAGGTGCACCTCTATCTCTGTGAGTTCGATTCCACCTCCAGACCTTTCTGTGTGTTTGCATGTTCTCCCTGTGTCTGCGTAGGTTTCTTCCGGGTGCTCCTGTTTCCCCTACCACTAAAAAAAACTGTATTGCAAAACTGAATTCCTGTATTACAATAATAAAAACACAGAATCAAATTAATTCCTTCTACTATCGAGTAGTTTGGGATGTTTTGAATAATTCTAAAACCTTATAATACGCCAATGTCCCAAGTAAACACCGACATCTTTCACTATCAAACAAAGTTACTAGGTGCACCTCTATCTTGACAGTTCTGCAAAATCCCAAACTCGTGCGTAAAAGCGTGCCAAAACCTGACCAACAACAGACACAGGAGAAGTATGCGCACGGGTAGTTTTGCACAATACAGTCTGGAAAGTGGCACTTGTGCAACACACACACGCACGCTCACATGCTCTCTCTCACATACACACACACACACACATATGCACACACAAAAACCCTGAGACAGCACTCACCCAGCAGCAGCAGCTTCACTTCCCTCGCCGCCTTCTCCCCATCCTCCCGCAAGTTTTTGTCAATCATCTTCGAGCGCTCGGCGGCCGCCTTGTCTTCCTGACTCACCGTGCAGCCCATGGTTCCCAACGCACGCTTCAGGACTGCGGTTGTGTGGAAAAGCCCAAGGAGAAATAAAAATAAAAATATATATAAAAGTCGCGCGTTGCTCCCGTTTGCTCCGGTCACAAAAGGGAGTTGAAGTTGTCGAGCTACAGGCGACTACTTCCCCTTTTTTTTTCTCAAGAGCGACAAAACCCAGTCATCAGTAAAAGACGCACGTAAAGTTAGAAGAAAAGTGGATCCAGCGACAAGCGTGAAGTGACGGGAGAATCAGGTCAAAACTCCGGGATTAGTCCTCTTCCAGTGCTGTGTGAGTGAGTTTGGAAAGAACACACAGCATTAGTAAATGTATAACGAACGCTAAAGCTGGTTTGGAGAGTATACGCGACAGAAACTTGCGTCAAAAGTATCCCCAAAGATGATTACTTTCGATTTGAGTAAAAACAGCGTAAGTCTGGGTCTGTCTCTGGTCTGGGTTTTCCTCGTTCAGAATCCTCAGTGCAGTGGGCGCATTCTTGGAGATTTGTCCCGTTTGGAGCCACACCCGGAGCCGCTGAAGTTCCCCTCCACACAGAGCTGCGAGAGGAGCGTGTCGCCTCTGCGCTTTCATCCCACCGCCCACCGCCTGCGAGGGGCATCATGGGAAGTGTAGTTCACAAGCAGCAGACGCGAGAACGTGTTTGGGATTTTTTTTCGTTTTGCATGTTTCTGTTTACCAAATGCTTTGTACTTTTAACACAGCGGTTCACTTAGGCAAAGCAAGTGTATTTGTATAGCACAGTTAGTACAAAAGGGAACTCAAAGTGCTTAACAAAATAAGATCGAAACAAACACAATGCGTTAAAGTCATAAATAATCACAGTGCATTTAAAATAGTGAAGATAAAGTAATTCATTTGTATGCACAGATAAACAGAACTTTTTTTAACCTGGATTTGAACACTGTCAGAAGCCTGTCTCCCATTTTTGGGAAGACTGTCCCAGATTTTAGCCTCCCCATGTTTCATCCTGATTCTGACACCAGCAAGAGGCCAGTCCCTCCTCAGAGTCCCTGTGCTCTTCGAAGTCCCTTTCAGTAGGCCAGTCCATGTGCTCCTCAGAGTCCCAGCTAGAGGCCAGTCCCTGTGTTCCTCAAAGTCCTTTCAGGAGGCCAGTCTCTGTGCTCCGCAGAGTCGGTTCATATGGCACTAACATGTCACAAATGTACTTTGGTGCATGGCCATTCAATTCCCTGTACTACCATCAGGCAGGACAGCTTTCCCAATGCGAACAATAAACAATACCATTTGGCGAATCTTTTGAGTTATATCTTACTCTGTGCAGTTTATTACTACTTTTAATTAGAGTCAATGCCAACAACTGCAAGGCCTTGTAACTTCATAAACTGTCCAGCTATTTCTTTGTGTCCAAACGGCTCAAAAAGATTCAATCATCTGAGCTTTTGATAAAAGACTCATGGCTTAAATCCATCTATGGCTTTGAATAATGAAGAAGAGGCTGTTAAAACTTTCACTCTGTCGCCATCTGGTGGAAGTGAAAGCAGTTGCTGCGACTTTGGGAAACTGCTGTCAGAGGTCAGAGATCAGAAACACAACTCTGTGAATCACATTGGGACAAAGTCTGAAGTTCTATTAAGAGTTAAACTATTTAATGATTGGAAAATTCTTAATTATGAAAATTATCAGTGTGTGTGTGTGCTGACACAGGGTAAAAATAGTGTATGTACTCGATTAGAGTACAGTTGAAAGTTAGGTCCCCCTACTTTAAGTCACAGACAAAAGGGTGATTATAGTCACTATATACATTAGCACGCATGACTCAGCAGACGTTATAAGCAAGAATTACATTTATTTCTGTAAATGAAATGTGGTCATGATTTGATCATATTGCTGATGCGGCACAGCAGTTCCCAGTTTTCCAGTCTGAACCTCATTAAAATATAATATCAACCGGGAATTGGACTAACTTGTATTTTATGTATTATTCATTCATTTATTTGCCAAGGACGTTGCACAATAAATGTTTAGCAAAGGCCGGACACAGCTACGAGCTAATTTACAGAGTGAAAATAATTAGTCAATAAAACGGCCGACATAGCAATTAAAATACAGGTCAAATAGCACCCTTGACCACAGAGAATCAATATTTCCCAGCAGGAGGCCAGTCCCTGTGCTCCTCAGGGTCCCAGCAGGAGGCCAGTCCCTGTGCTCCTCAAAGTCCCAGCAGGAGGCCAGTCCCTGTGCTCCTCAGAGTCCCAGCAGGAAGCCAGTCCCTGTGCTCCTCAGAGTCCCTGCAGGAGGCCAGTCCCTGTGCTCCTCAGAGTCCCAGCAGGAAGCCAGTCCCTGTGCTCCTCAGAGTCCCAGCAGGAAGCCAGTCCCTGTGCTCCTCAGGGCCACAGCAGGAGGCCAGTCCTCTGCTTTAGCTTCATTTTTATATGAGTCGTACAGAATTGAAACCATTTTTTTTTCACTGTCCTGAACCTGTGTGTGCATCTCAAGTGTCTGTGGACATAGTGATGTAATAGGGTTGGGACACACCACTAAACAATGACATATATTTATTATTTAATAAAGTAAACATAGATTAGCAGACAGTTTAATAACACTAATTATATATAATGACAGCCTCACACTCTCAGGTAATGTTATCTCTCAGTATCTTTATTGCAACAATGTTTACATTACAATGACTGCCAGCAACATATTAAAATACACAGTATAGATACCAGAAAATAGACATGAGTCGACGGACGAATAGGTTTAAAAGCACTTTGAAAATGAAGACATTGAAACATTACCCTGGACTACACTCTGGCCACTATTTACAATATATAAAGTAGATATGCATATCCAATATAAAGGGTATCTGTACATTATTTATAAGTGCTGGCTGATGTCACACTGTCGCACGGATACAACGCAGAGACCGAGCTCCCGAGTCACAAACACACAGACCACACAGGGGAACACTGCAATGGAGGGTATAGGGACTTTTGAGGACGTCTTTCCGCACAACTTTGAAATATATGGGCACATGATGAGGTGGTAGAAAGTCCAAATTGTTACAAAAAGACATGGAGTCGTCTGTTACCGGGAAGGAATGTCAGAGCAATGGTACGGTTTGTCATAAATGCAATTTCAGATCAAACATTTTAACTGAATCTTGTAATAGACATTCATTTGTTAAACACATTGGTTTCATAGTGAGTGGACTTCCCTAACAATGATAATAATAATAATGCATTACAGTGGTTCAAATGCATAATATTAAACATGATCCTTCACTGATCTGACCATAGCCTGCACACAGATGGACAATGCTAACCCGCTAACTCAATGAAGCTCAATAGGGAAGTGCTCATGGACCAAGTTTTGCCCTAACTCGCTCTGGCTCCTATTGACTGACATGTAAAGGTAAACTTCTCTAGCTCAGAAACTGCTTGTATCACACTCGTCATTTCTGATTCAGACTTCAGCCCAAAGATTTCTTGTGCGAAGCGTTAATGCTGCATAACGTCTTTCCCAAAACTAAACTTGTGCTTTTTCTTTCTCTCACCTGCAGCAACCAACATTTTCATTCATAAAGCTGTAATAAAGCTGTAGTAATTATTGCTATTACACGTACAAGCAGCAAAGGTTGTCCCACCATCATGTGACCATCTGCCTCCTGCATTTCAATATGGAATTCAAAATGGATTCATAATTATTGTTAAGTTAAGGTACTTTATTGTCCTCGTAGGGATTTGCGGCGTCTGTATTTGACCCATACTTTAATTCCACTCTTCTGTCAGGAGCAGTGGTCGCTGTAGTGACAGGGGAACCAGCTCCACATGTTGATGCTCTAGGTCAGGACCGGAGCTGGAGGATTTTAGCAATTTCACATGTTTTTAGTGGTAGGAGAAACCAGAGCACCTGGAGGAAACCTATGCAGACACAAGGAGAACATGCAAAAACCACTCAGAAAGGACCTTCTTTCTGTGACCTGCTAACCACTCAACCGTACATCCTTATACTAGAATCTATAATGGAATCTGGAATTTGGAATAGGTATGTTTCTGACCCATTTTTGAGTTTTTTGAGGGGATCCAATCCAATAGATGCTCGGCCATCAAGGTGGTACCGATACCGGCTCCGGTTTCCCCTATCACTAAAAACAATAGGTAAAATCATCCAGCTTTGGACTTGACCGAGAGTACCCAGTGCTCCTAGTGGTGTTACAGGATGGGTCAAATGCAGGATGGGTCAAATACAGGATGGGTCAATTGCCGAGGACACATTAAGTAAAAGAAAACAAAATCTGCTTTCTCTGCGAGTACCTTGCATTTGTGACAAACTGTAAAAGCGTAAGCAAAAACGTTACTCTACAAAAATAGCAAACAGTTTTACGAGAAAACAACATGAAATCATTTACAAACACCTTCCTTTGCGTTACATTGATTTTTAAAAGAATAAATCATCTATTGACAATATGTTATATATTTCTGATCAGTACAGGTCCATATAATACAATACGAATGCATATATTTATTTATTTTTTACACTCGCCAACTTACACTGGAGTAATACACCAACTACGGTAGATACAGTACTCTTAGGGGCCACTAGGGGGCACTGGCACACACACACATACACACATACACACACAGGCTAAAAAGTCATGTTATTTCAAGTTTTCAGAAGGAGACATCCATCATAATACATTGTTGCTTTTATGACCTAGTTTAAGTGCTTTTTTACTATGTGGATTCTTATAAGTACAATATTGTTGCTTGTCGTCAGGTTAACGGCTACAAGAGGCATTTGTGCTTGGAAACGATAGTAGTAAGAGAGTGCTATTGCTAATTTCGCTTAAGCAGCCATCTTTATAGTAGCTCCTTTAATACATACATCGATCAATATAGTTGTTCTACCCTGTGTTCAAAAGATGGTCCAAATACCAAAGTTAATAGGCAGATATATGTGTCTCTATAAAAGGGATGGCAGTAGGCAAGACATGTGCTTTTGACTTCTGATTAAAACAAGCAGAATTCTCAATTGGGGTTTTGTATTGTAATAAAAAATATATATAGTTATTCACTGTAAGATAAAACAGGAAGTACTAACTCCAGCTACAAAGGGTCAGGAACTACTAAAAAAAAGCTAATTTTGAGTTGGAATTATTAGCTGGTCCCAACTCACAAGTGGTTCTCAAATCCTTCTTGACCTCATCACGCAACGGGGGCGAAGTCCACATAATAGATTCCATTCACACGTTTGTTAAGCTTTGAGGACTATTATTGTGGCCCCTAAAGCTGGGGTATGTAATTTGTCGCTCCCTCAAAAATCAATACATGATATTTGTCCCAACAGAAATAACCTTTTATAATTTAAGTAACGTTTTGTAAACAAATGAGACCACAGCATCCTATCTTCATCTTAACAAAGAGCCCTGTGAGTCACTATTTGACACTCTGGGCTGAGAGCTGATTGGCTGAGTGAAGGTGGTCACCAAAGTAGTTTTTGAGAGATTAAGAGATTCTTTTTTCATCCCACAGTGGGGAAATTTCAGTTTAATTTTTTGCTTAAGACACTTGTTATCTCGTCTGTTTGGCAGAATATGTACCCTTTAAGTATATTTATGGCTCGATAGCCCCATTTCCACCAGCCCTACTCTACTCTACCCTCAACTAACAAAGACTAGCCAGAGAGCTGCTGGAAGCCATGTTTACCAAGGAATTTATTGTGGGTAGGTTGATAGTACTCTACCAGATACTAAAACGCTGTGGAAACACAACTAAGTAGAGAAGAGTAGAGTAGAGCCGAATAGAGCCAAGTAGAGTAGAATAGAGTAGGGCTGGTGCAAACAGGGCTTTTTATTATTGCTCTATGACTTAGACTGACCCCTTGTGGCTGCAGATAAATAAACATGACTCCATCCACAACACATCAGTTTAAATTGTGTTACTCTTTGGAACAATACTGCACCGGTTTGAACATGTTTTTGCGCACACTTTATACACACTTCTGAGTTAAAACGCAATCCCTCCCACACTCGGAAACCATTCACCTTTACTGCATTGTCTGAGGTTAAGAGATGAGTATTAGGGACAGGACAAGACGATCCTGTCCAGGAAAGGTAGGAATGTTACGGTACACGCATTTGTGCATTAGAGCTGTGCATTGGAGTTGATATGGTTTTATATGAATAAGTTAAAATTATTATAGATCTCTACAAAACACCACATTATACCAGCTGTTTGTTATATTCACTCACTATTGCAATATACTGTGCTTTCTGTCTTAGACTGTATACAGGCGCGGCTAATTTTCAGTATTCTATCTGAAAGGTCTTCCCACAACCCAGAAGCAGCACTCTGGGTTGAAAATCTGTGTTCTAAAGATGAGAAAATGATGTGTGTTGATTTTTTGCAATGCACTGAGGGGTTTAAAAAGGCGTCAGAAGAATTACACAGATTCTAAAACCTGCTTTTATGGTGGGAACTCTGCTATGGGGCTGTTTCAGGTGACTTTGAGTCTGTATAAATGACTTAATTCAAATAAAACTACTCAAATTTTAAGAAAACTGAGAAAGAGAACAGAGAGAGAGAGACCAAAGAGAGAGACCAGAGGGAGCGAGACAAAAGAGAGAGACCAGAGAAAGACCAGAGAGAGAGACCAGAGAGAGAGACTAAAGAGAGACCAAAGAGAGACCAAAGAGAGACCAAAGAGAGACCAAAGAGAGTCCAGAGAAGGAGAGAGAATTACGTGGATTCTAAAACCTACTTTTATGGTGTGAACTCTGAAGCCGTGAAGCCTTCATAAACAACTTAATTTGAATAAAACTAAAACGTTTTCTGGGGATTTTTTTCAAATTGATTCGAATGGGAGCCGCCAAAATTACTAATCTGGGAGTTTTAGCAGTTTCCAAATTCTGGGAGTACTAGTGTTAAGAAGACATCTCAAACGACGGCTGATCTGATTGGCTGATGGTAAAAGCTTATAGTAAAACACACAGACATCATGAAAGGCACCGCTCTCACTCCTCTGAATAATATTGAACCTGTGCAGTTTTGGCAGGACGGGGCTTTTTCAACACACTTTTTCAAAAGACACTAACATGACCACACACTACGTAACGTGGACAGTTCCAAAGAGAGAGAACCCTGAGGAGGTCTAGTGCGCGCTGCTGGCCTTGCTCGACCCTGAAGTCCAGTCGATGATGATGAAGCTCAAACTCATAATCATGAAGAGGAAGCCCAGCGCCGCGAAGCAAGCAGCCTGAAGGAGAGACGAGAGGTTAGACCCGCAGCAAAGGCAGTTTTGGATCTATAGCCTCAGTCCTGGAACTACAGCCTCAGCCCTGGATCTACAGCCTCAGTCCTGGATCTACAGCCTCAGTCCTGGATCTACAGCCTCAGCCCTGGATCTACAGCCTCAGTCCTGGATATACAGCCTCAGCCCTGGATCTACAGCCTCAGTCCTGGATCTACAGCCTCAGCCCTGGATCTACAGCCTCAGTCCTGGATCTACAGCCTCGGTCCTGGATCTACAGCCTCAGTCCTGGATCTACAGCCACACACACCTGGATCTAGATCCTTAGTCCTTCTGGATCTACAGCCTCAGTCCTGGATCTACAGCCTCAGTCCTGGACATTTCTGGACAGTGGTCGTCCTTTTCACTATGGACTCCTTAGCCTGGCTGCTGCCAAACCTTAGCCCTGCCTACATACAATTTCAGCGGTCAGTTCTGACCATAACCGTGGGGATGATGTAGTCAGGCTAAAGGCTCCTATGTCCCTCCTGAAAAATGAAAACTCCACATGTGGATTGTTCTCACCAGTATTTTGGGCGGTGAGCGGAGAGGCTCGTCTTCTTTGGGAACAATACGAATATAAAAAACAGCCGGAAATATAAATATGAGACACGGGGCAGAGGTGGCACCTGCAGAGACAGAAAGCTTTGTATTAGTCATTTAGTCAGTTACATGAAATCAGAATTCTTTACCTTTTGTGGATTGGCTGTTTCGCTGATTGCTTATTTTGTGTGAGAACATCATATAACCGCTAGTATAACATGACAGATACCTTTATTTAAAGTCAGAGGTAAACTTTTGTGGCTTGTGTGCACCGTAAAAATTTCAGAGTTTCAGAGAAAAAGTTCAGAAGACTGACTCTCTGGTCTCTCTAAGTTCTCTCTTTAGTGGCTCTCTCTCTCTGGTCTATCTTTCTGGTCTCTCTCTCTCTGATCTCCCTCTCTCTGGTCTTTCTCCCTCTCTGGTCTCTCTCTGGTCTCTCTCTCTTTGGTCTCTCTTTCTGGTCTCCCTCTCTCTGATCTCCCTCTCTCTGGTCTTTCTCCCTCTCTGGTCTCTCTCTGGTCTCTCTCTCTTTGGTCTCTCTCTGCTCTCTCTTTCTGCTCTCTCTCAGTTCACTCTTTGGTCTCTCCCTGGTCTCTCTCTGGTCTCTCTCTGGTCCCTCTCTGGTCCCTCTCTCTGGTCTCTCTCTGGGTCTCTTTGGTCTCTCTCTGGTCTCTCTCTGGTCTCTCCTCTGGTCTCTCTCTGGTCTCTCTCTGGTCTCTCTCTGGTCTCTCTCTGGTCTCTCTCTGGGCTCCGTATGGCTCCTATGTCTTTGATATTATTGTATTTCTTGTTTTCAAACTTTTTGATGCTCTGATCTGTTGGTGGTGAATTGACAACTTTTGGCGGTGCACAAAAACATTGAATTAAATGATTTCAAACATTCACCTATGACTCCAAAGATGCCCAGGATGTTTGGTGCAAAGATGACGAGGAGGTTAATGCAGGTGAGCAGCACTAATGCGATGGCGATGTGTCGAGGCCAGTTAAACGTCTTATTGGGAAACATCATCTGCTGGATCGCTCTCCGCACCTGAGACAAACACGGGAAGACCATTCTGTTATTTCTTTTCACAGCCTGTTATCAGTTCAAACAAAGGCCTTTAAGGATCTTGCATTTGTTTCTTGTACTTTTTAGCCCGTTTTATTTTATGTATTTGTTTGGTGCACACTGGGGGACCTTTGCACAAGTATACCAATGGGGTTTTACTGCAAATGTAAATAAATTGATTGTGAATCTGAGCCTGATAACAAATATTCTTGTTTTAAATTCATTATTTAGTTAAAATTGTAAATAAGAAAATGCAACATTTCTGATGACGCGTTTATAAAGCACTCAATATGAGGAAACACAAACTGTATTATGAAACAGATGGTTAGGTACCGCCAGGTTTAATCAAATAAACCTGGCGGTAGTTAGTTATGTGGGTTTTTTTTCAGTTATATTCAAGGGGATAATATTGGGCCTCATTCACAAACGGTTCTTACGAACAAATTTGTGCGTAAATCCTACTTACGAGGATTTTACGGAGAATGTGGCATTCACGAATATTTCTCGTAAGCAGAATTTCTCTTGGGTAAGTACAAATCCTACGAGTGCTCAGGAGCACTCTTACGCACATTCAGTGCCGACATGCTCGTGTTGTGAAGTTCAATAAAATACAACATTACAGTGATATGTTTGCCATATTGATGTATGTATTTATTTATTTAATTGTTTATGGTAATTTAGTCATTTTTTAAATTCATTTGAAAACTTAATGCGCCAACGCTTTATCAAATACATTGGAAATCGTGCCGTTAGTGACCCCATCCAATTGATAGGGGACATTTCTCCATCCACGGGTCACAAAACAATGGAATATATACTGCTGTAGCAGGAGGACCCCGCTGGTCTCTCCATATGGTCTCTCCAGTCGCTGCGGTCTCTCTTTGGTCCGCGCTGGTCTCAGTCTATGCGGTCTCTCCTCGGTCCGCGCTGGTCTCAGTCTATGCGGTCTCTCCTCGGTCCGCGCTGGTCTCAGTCTATGTGGTCTCTCCTCGGTCCGTGCTGGTCTCAGTCTATGCGGTCTCTCTTTGGTCCGCGCTGGTCTCAGTCTATGCGGTCTCTCTACGGTCCGCGCTGGACTCTCCAGTCTCTCCTCGGGTCTGCATTGGTCTCAGTGCTGGATCTCCTCTCAGGGTCCAAAATACTTTTAGATTAATTTCATAACATTTTGAGATTCATTTTTAAATTAAAACATAATATATTTTTAAATTAATCTCATAACATTTTAAGATTAATCTTATAATTTTGCTAGTTCGACTTTATTCTCAAAATATTTCAACTTTTAAGTCAACATTTTATAACTTTATTCTCAGTCTGGTAAAAGAAGAAAAAAGGGTGACTCTTTTGCTCCGTGTAACTCTTTGCTTTAGGCCTGTTGCTGTTTCCTCTGCCGTCTGCACACGGCCCTGCAGCCCCTTATATGGGCATTAATGGGCGGTTACCTATGCTAAGTACCTATGCTAATGAGGCACCGGGCACGTGCGCTCTACTTACGAGGAGTTGGCATTCATCAATCTGAGAGAACAGCTGCGAACAATTCAGCGGCTTACGAGTGCGTTGGTGAATCCCACCTAGGGTCTTCTTAGAAATCTACTGAAGAACGACTTGAGAAGAAATTTAAGAAGTTTCTTACGAAGTTATTCGTGAATGAGTCCCAATGTACTTCTGTTATACAACTAAAGAGACTATGAGCTGTACATTCCAACATTGTATAAAAGTAATGATGTAATAATAAACAATAATTTTAATGAAAAAAACAAAAACAAATCTCATAACAATGGGCCTCATTCACGAATATCTTTTTAAGAAACTTCTTAAACTTCTTCTCAAGTTGTTCTTAAGTAGATTTCTAAGAAGACCCTACGTGGGATTCACCAATGCGCTCGTAAGCCGCTGAATTGTTCGCAGCTGTTCTCTCAGATTGATGAATGTCAACTCCTCGTAAGTAGAGCGCACGTGCCCGGTGCTTCATTAGCATAGGTACTTAGCATAGGTAACCGCCCATTAATGCCCATATAAGGGACTGCAGGGCCGTGTGCAGACGCCAGAGGAAACAGCAACAGGCCTAAAGCAAAGAGTTATATATATTATATATATTTTATATATTATAAGTATTTGATAAATTGTTGGCACATTTAGTTTACAAATGAATTTAAAAAATGACTAAATTACCATAAACAATGAAATAAATAGATACATACATCAATATGACAAACATATCACTGTAATGTTGTATTTTATGGAACTTCACAACACCAGCGTGCGAACATGTCGGCACTGAATGTGCGTACGAGTGCTCCTGAGGACTCGTACGCAGGATTTGTACGTACCCAAGAGAAATTCTGGTTACGAGAAATATTCGTGAATGCCACATTCTTCGTAAAATCCTCGTAAGTACGTATTACGCATAAACAGCTCGTGAATGAGGTCGTTCGTGAATGAGGCCCATTGTGAGGCGTTTGAGTGTGCAGGTGAAAGCCAGATCCTGTCAGACCTCTCAATCTAAGCAGGGCAGGGCCTGGTTACTGCTGTGATGGAAGACCGCTGGGAACACCAGCTGCCACAGCGGGGCGGATGCGGCTGTAAAGTGCCAAACAGTTGCTGTGTCCTTAAGCAAGACATTTCACCCACATGTGTGCGATGGCACTGACTGGTTGCCTCCCTTCTGTCAGTGTGAGGGCAGCTGTGGCTACAGTAGTAGGTTATCATGACAACGGGGAGAAAAAATAAGGCGTGTCCTGAAACACTGTTTAAAACACAAGCATTATTATTATTTTCTTGTGTTTCACTCTTTTCTGTTGTATAGCAGTTGTGCTTGTGGACTGTGCTATATAAATAAAGGTGATTGGATTGATTTACCGGGAAGAGCACGATGGGGACGGTCAGAGTGACGGCTGTGAGCACGGCCACACGCACACACAGGATGAGCGTGTCGTACGGGTCGATGCGGCTGTAGGTGTGGAGCAGCTCAGCCTCCACTTCCCCTGAGACACAAACAGGGTTACTATGGTTACATTACATTCTGCAGGATTTATGTATGTATGTCAAGGTGAGTCAGCCTCAGTCCTGCATCTACAGCCTCAGTCCTGGATCTACAGCCTCAGTCCTGCATCTACAGCCTCGGTCCTGGATCTACAACCTCAGTCCTGGATCTACAACCTCGGTCCTGGATCTACAGCCTCAGTCCTGGATCTGCAGCCTATTCATCTGTGAGAGCGGATCCCTCTTTCAATAGGGGCCACCCCCAAGTTTCTTTCATTTCTTTCCCACTGATTATGTTACTATTTTTCCACTGACATGAACTAACATTTCTTTGATTCTATGATCTGTGATTGGTGAATCGACAACTTTGTAAAGTCCTCAGAGATAACTGCTGTTGTCATTTAGAGCGAAACACAAATACATTGAATTGAAGTCATGCTGTATTTGCCAAGTGACCAGTGAGTGACCAGTGTCAACATTCCCAACATTAATTTATTCAGTAATGTAATTATATCGGTGAATACGCATCATTTTGACTTCCTCATCCTAAGAGTAAATAACATACAAACTCCATAGAACACTTCACCCCTCATTATCCTGTGGTAGTGGCATCCTGTGACCACTAGGGGGCGCGTATGCTTCATTAAAGCAAGGGTACTTAAGTTTGTTTCCATCAAAAACCATCATTCAGTTTCTCCCAACAGAAACAGTTTTGTAAAAGTTAAGTTTTATAGACAAATCAGAAGAAGCATGTTGTTTTTATCTTTTTATAAAACGTGTTAACTTTGGCATAATTATAATAAAGAGCCCTGTGAGTCACTATTTGACATTTTGGGCTGTGAGGGTGGTCCTGTCATTTTTCACTGCTCTGTCAGAAATACATACATGTGAGAACGAGTAATAAAACCATAGATTGTATATAAGGGGTGTACTGACTTAGTGTGACATCACCACAGTGCAAGCTTTAATGCGGATGAGACCGGTTTGAACATAAGCGAGCTGGAGCTAATTTCCTTATATGGGCATTTCAGGGTCAGACGTGTTGCTAAGACACAACAGAACTCACCGTAGAAGGTGAGGTATCCGAACAGAGCGGCCAGGAAGTACATGATGTACATGACGGCGATGGAGATGTTGGCCACGTGCTGCATCTTCTTCTTTGTGGGACTGAAATCACAACACAAGTCAATTCAGGTCAATTGAATTTTTATCTCGGAGGACTTTACTAAGTTTCATGTGTGTTTGAAGGTCAATATTAAAACAAACAAATGACCGTAATTATCCATCAGGAAAACCATGTTTGAAATAATGCATTCAAGGGCAGCACGATTCTATCACTCACAGCGACCCTTATAGGTACTGATCCTGGTTCTAGTCCTGGTCCTGGTCTTGGTCCTGAACTGGCTCTGGTCTTGGTTCTGGTCCCTAGTCTTGGTTGTGGTTCTGGTCCTGAACGAGTCGTGGTGCTGGTTCTGGTCTTGGACTGATTCTAGTCCTGGTCCTGAAATGGTACTGGTCCTGGACTTAGTCCTGGTTCTGGCTTTGGCTCTGGCTCTGGCTCTGGTCCTGGTCCTAGTTCCTAGTTCAGAATCAAGTCAGCAAGCTAATGTTAGTTACTATAGAAACACACTGTATACATGCAGCGGTTAGCATTTGGTAGCCCATTTTTCAAGTTATATTAGTAAAAGTGAGCAAAGGTGAAACATTGTATTAGTTACTGATTTACAGACACAGATTTATTTTTAGAATCAAAAAGTAATGTGTCCTCTTATGTCTTCTTTGTGGATTTATATAACAAAAGAGTATTTGAAGTAAGCTTTTCGTGTGAGCTGTGTCTTTAAACTCTCTCAAGGGAAACTAGACCAGGAGAGGCTGGACTTGAAATCGTGCGATCCGAATGCATTCAAATTAAAGCTGGGGTACCGTGCTTTTTTGTTTAATAAATGATACATGTTGTTTACCCAACAGAACGAGCCAGGCCACAACATGCTGTATTCATCTGATTAGAATATATTATTAGAATTAGTTATCTTCTGCAGGATTGTAATCTTTGAGTGTCTTTGGGCTTAAAGCTGAGTAAGGGACTTTTTCACTGAAGAAATCGGACCTAAAGATGTGACCAAACATACAGAGGCCAAACATACACATGAAAACTAGTGACAGAAGGAAGTAGTTTAGAATTGGATTTGATGTCATTGCTCCATTGCTGTAGTTCGAAAGTGAAGTACCCCAGCTCAGTATTTATATCAACAATTTCAAACTTAATAATCATAATGCCAAAATCAGGCTCAGGAAAAACAAGCTGAAGTGGTCCAGTGCACGATGCAGACCCATGCTGAACCAGGCAGGCACAGACTTGTGAACCACAGACTGTATTAGGTATGGACTGACCCAGTGTGATATCACCATAGTGTTAGCCTTAATGCAGAAGAGGCCTAGTGATGCCAAATTCATGCTAATGTTGTTGGTAGCAACGGCTGAGTTACCAAGAGCCAATCAGGAGCGGTGATTGTCTCTCGCTACTGAAGCTGAATTCTGATTCCTGATTGGTCAGTTTTTATGGCTCATATCTGGATTTACTAAGACAATATCACACTATAAACACCAGAATCAAAGAGAGCAACACTAACAGTTACTGAGCTAGAGGATTTTACTTTTCAATGCAAGTCAATAGTAGTCAGAGCGAGTCCCCTCATTGAGCTAGCGGGTTAGCATTGTCCACCTATATACAGTCTATGGTTTGAACACAAAGTGAAAGCAGTGCATGTGCCTTGGTGACAATCAGCCAAGCACAGAAGACCAGCACCGCCTTTACCTGGAACACTACAGACTCGTCCTGTAGTGTCAGGAGAGAGGAGTTCCACCATTTTAAACATACTTGCGCAGCTCTGTGTAGATCGGTAGCACCTCAGGGTGACACACGAACGCAAACGCCAAGATGGGAATGGTGTAGGCCGTCTGCAAGGCAAGAGATAGGTTGGCATATAGACTTATAGACAGACATATAGTAAGATAGATAGAAAAATGGATAGATACTAAACACCATTTGTGAAAGATAATGGTTATCGCGGGAGTGACAACCAAAAATAAAATCCTTGAACTAGCAGCTGTATGTTTTAAGTCTGTAAAACCCCTCGAGCACACTTTTCTAACCACCTGAACTCACGACTGCTGAAGATATGAATGCTGCTGCAGCTGTCAAAAGCTGTGCATGTACTGTAAAATACGGCTGCAGAGGACAGGAGCAGGACTGAGGGCTTTGGGAAAACCAGAGAGACTAGAGAGAGTCCAGAAAGAGACCAGAGAGAGACTAGAGAGAGACCAGAAAGAGAGACAAGAGACTAGTTCACGTCGCACACTGGTGACCTAATCACAAGCCACACAAATGTTCTACTGACATACAATAAAGTAACCTTTCGGGTCTCTCTCTGGTCTCTCTCTGGTCTCTCTCTGGTCTCTCTTTGGTCTCTCTCTGGTCTCTCTCTACTCTCTCTCATCGGGTCTTTCTGCCTGGTCTCTACAGTCTCTCCCTCCGGTCTCTGTAGTCCCTGTTGAAATACAATTCTACGACTTAACCATAACCTTTCCCCATGAGTTGCAGCAATGTATCTAATGTGCTATATAAATAAATCTCCGTAGAGGACCATATCTATCAGTGAGACCGTGCTTTTGTTTACACTGCCTTCCAGCCTGAACCAGACGTTCTGCTGCCGTACGTCATTGCTCAATCGCCCCATTACGATGAATAATCATTATGTCCGGCAGGTCTAGCCAACAGGTCGCCGTGGTTACAGCCGTGGGACGTCCCGAGCAGAGTCTGGCCACCTCACTCTCACATTCACACACGTCGCACACTGATAATTGTTCCTCTGTGATTAACGGAGCCTGGATCAGAACCAGCTGGAGCGGTGCTGATCTCCAGGCACCAGGGAATGTGTCTGGAACCAGGACAAGACCTCCAGGATTGTGACAAGAAACAAAAATGACACTTGAACGAACTGTGCATAAGGAAACACTACACGAGGCTTCCAGATGGTCCATTGTGGATGTTGGGATTTTACTGTTAATATTGAATTAAGATTAATAAAGCCACCGTGATACTGTACAACACAATCATTTTCACATTGAGGCTATGGGACAGGTACAATGGTATGATTTTTATTTTTACTGGGACAGTGTACAATAAACATTAGCCAAAAGAAGAGATGCCTTGTACTAGTGTGTGGCAGCCCCTGATTAAGTATTTAGCACAAGTATTTTAGGACTTTTGGCTATGTATAGGAAAGAAAAATGGGATAAAATAACAATAAATAAATGTACTATCCTTCTCAACTCTATCTTACTCTACTCCACTGCTGGCTCTGTTTAACCAGTACCAGTTTCTCTTTTAGTCTCTCTTGGTCCTCGTTCTATCCAGGCTGAGCTGGCTGATTTGCTGCTGTGGTTAGCAGTGGTTAGTGGAATTTCCCTGGATACTGGTTTGTATCGGGTAGGTTGCAAGGTTAAGGTACCAGATACTAAAGAGCAAGGGAGTAGAGTAGAGTAGAGAAGAGCAGAGAGGAGAAGACCACAGTATAGTATAGGAGAGTATATATAGAGTAGAGCCGGTGGAAACAGGGCTTGGATCAGAGCGTACCTGGGAGTTTAGGTTGGCCATCTTGGGGACACAGGCGTCGTCGTCTCCTGAGTCGGTCGTGTTTAGAATGGGAGTGTGAGCCGTGCCGTTAAAGGAGAACTCAGTGAAAGGACACGGCAGGTTGAACTTCTTATAAATGACCTGAAAGACGAGAGGGATAAGTCTGTGTCAAACTCACACAGGGACGAGATCTGTGTTAGACCAAAGACAGTCCAGAGATATTGGTCTCTGTCTGGTCTCTGTCTGGTCTCTGTCTGGTCTCTGTCTGGTCTCTGGACTGGTCTCTGGACTGGTCTCTGGACTGGTCTCTGGACTGGTCTCTAGACTCACACAGGAACGACATCTGTGTGGGATCTGACGTTTACATGTTATACAGCTAAACCCTGGACATTAGTACAGAGAATATGAATAATAGAGAGGGTTTTTGAGACTGAGAGACGGATCGGATCAGTGCAGCGTGTGCAGTGATGCAGCCGCTGGCCATGAACTTTGGGTAATGACCGAAAGGATGAGATCGCAGATACAGATGAGTTTCCTCTGCAGAGTGGCTGGGTGCTCCATAAGAGATAAAGTGAGAAGCAAAATCACACAGATGGAGCTTGGAGTAGAGCCGCTGCTCCTCCACGTGGAGAGGAGCCAGTTAAGGTGGCTCAGGCAGCTGTTTGGAATGCCTCCTAGACGCCTCTCTTGAGGAGACCAGGGGACGCTCTGAAGGGACAGTGTCTCTCTGCTGGCCTGGGAAGGCCTCAGGATTCCCCCGGATGAGCTGGAGTTGTGTGTTAAGAGAGCCGCAAATAGGAGCTAGTGGTGTGGTCCCAATGAACCAATAAGATTTACTACAAAAGCCACAGGCTTAAAACAATCAGGCAATAAAGAGTGTGGACGTGTTCTGCAGCTTACAGCAGAAAGTAGGTCAGAGACAGTAACAGTCAGAGAGGGTCACGCAGAGGGGACAGGACCAGTGCTTTATCCCACTGGACCCCAGTGAACAGTGATGATCCGGGACTTTTAAGGACATTTATGAACATTTCTGGACACACAGAGAATTTTTCCAGCGGACCAATGGCTCCTTTGTGTTTGTTATTGCATTTTTTGTGTTTGAACTGATTCTCAGAGACGTCTGCTGTGATTTAGGGCAACAAACAAATTGAATTGAATTGCATAATAATGACAGAGGGGACAGGACCAGAGCTGTAATAAAGTCTACAGAGACGATAGATACTGCAGCTGTGTGAATTCAAACAGATGAAAATAGATTATCAGTGTTTCAGGGTTTGTGTGTCACTAAACTCTGATTTGCCCTTTGTACAAAACGCACTATAAAAATAAACTTGCCTCACCGAATCTGTAATTATGGAGGATTTTCTAGCATTATCGGACATATTTTGATCAAAAGAACAAAAAAATGTGCTAAAAAGTACAGAAGGAATGAGTGCATACAGGGATAAAAAAATGTAGGACCAACGTGAGGGATCAGGGGCTCTACAAGGATCCGTGGGAAAAAATTGGTAGACACAGAAAAAGGTCCAAGACACATCTTTTATTTCTATAGGGACGTGGGAATCAAAAATCCACTGTTAACTTCATCTCTGGTCTGATGTTACAACTCAAGATAAGATAAGAGATTCTTTGTTCGCCCCACAGTGAGGACGATTCAAATACTTAGTATTAGATCCAGACTACTGAAGCTAAGCAGGGCAGGGCCTAGTTAGTACTGTGATGGGAGACCTCTGGGAAGTGCAGTACTGTCGTTGAGTCTAGTGCGTGTGAGAATGTTGGTGGTGGTGGGAGGGGCCGATGGCACTGACTGGTTGCCTCGCTTCTGTCTACAGTGGCTACAGTAGTAGTTAATCACCATAATGTATGGAGTGAATGAATGATGACAAGTGAAGCAGATTTGAGCGTTCAGAAAAGCACTGTATAAAATGAATGCATTATTACTATTATTATGACTATTATTTTATAAATGTATTTTTAATTTTATCAATTCCTTTAAACAAGAAATGATTTTCATTGGACCCAGAGGAGAAGGAGCTCACCGCGACGAGGAAGAAGACCATACAACACAACGAGAAGCCGCTGGTGTATCCCAGATATCCTGAAACACAAATACACCGTTTACATGCACACATACATTCAGCTCTTTCATCTCCAGCTGAACAATGTTGGGCAACAGTGCATTATGTGGTAGGGGTGCCACTGTGGGCCATTAGAATGTATATTTTGCGGTCTTTTCGATTGCCCAAAATAAATTATAGAAAGATTTATGTAAAGTGGCCTGAGTGAGACCTGTTCAGTGAGTGCATACCTTGACCCATGGATACATCCTTCCGTATTGTAAAACATCTCTGTCTGTAGACCCTCTCCCTCTGTCTGTGAACCCTATGTCTCTGTCTGTAGACCCTCTCCCTCTGTCTGTGAACCCTGTGTCTCTGTCTGTGGACCCTCGCCCTCTAACATACTCATTACAATAATTCATGCTTGTTCCTGTGCCAAATCTATTTTTATGACTTGCATACAGTGCATTCCATCCACCTCAAATGTTAGCTCTCTAAATATCCAGGACAATTTCTTCCACTTCTTTGGACATGTTATTTTTCCCCCACACTGTGTATTATAATAAAAGTAAACCCGTATTTTTCCATATAGTGTGAAGGAGAGAGGGCACTCACCCAGCTGCTTCATCAGGGCCAGAGGTAAGATCACAGCGATGGACACAATCACCACTAGATAGTTTCCATTCAAGTACCATTCTCTGTAAGAAGAAATACACAAGATACTTTTATTACTGTACAACATTAAAGCCTCATTTGCACCTGCCAATAGAGACAGACCTGTGTTTTGTTGCATTTCCCTTTCAAAACCCCAACAGCAGATCTCACTATTGACAATCTCACTCCTGCTGTTTTATATTGACATTAACAAAGTAGGAAATCAATTGGACCAGGTTGAGGAGACGGACATATAATCAAGTGGCAGCAACAGTGTTTTCCATTTATTTATGTATACAGAGGCCAGACCACTGTGTACTCTCTAGTCTCTCTCTCAGGTCTCTCTCTCTTATCTCTCTGTTCTCTCTCATCTCTCTCGCTCTAGTCTTTGTCGTCTCTCTCTGCTCTCTCTCTCTGGTCTCTGTCTCTGGTCTCTCTCTCTGGTCTCTGTCTCTGGTATCTCTCTCTGGTCTCTGTCTCTGGTATCTCTCTCTGGTCTCTGTCTCTGGACTCTCTCTCTGGTCTCTGTCTTGTCTCTCTCCCTGGTCTCTCTGTGATCTCTCTTGTCACTCTTTGCTCTCTCTCTCTCTCCCTCCTGTCTGTCTCACTGGATTTTCTTGTATTGCAAACTTCTAATTCAATAATAGTCACTATAAGGAGAGGATTGTTCTATGTTCTTTAAGACATAGTAGAACTGCTGAAGATCTTATGTAATGTGTGATTATTGCCAATAGAACATCACAGACCTATTTATAGAGTCAAAGCCAGCGATTAATCCCTCTGTAAAAGCACCACACAACATCTGTTAGCCACCCACACACACACGCGCGCACGCACGCACATGCACACACACATAGAGGGAGAGACACACACACACGTCAAACATAAATGTTCCCAAAGAAAAGTCTTAGGACAGAGGAGCTAACATCTTACTTCACAGGATCCACTCCACAACCACCGAGTCAGTAACAGGTTGTGTTCTAAAGTAGAATTGCTTTTCTGTATTTCAACAAGAAATTGTTGTTTTCCCAGATTATTATTTGATCTATTGAGTGAGTGAATTTACATTCACAAAGCCGCCATAATATTCTTCTGTCTGAAAGTACTTTCTACTGGCCAACATCATGCAGAGAGAGACCAGAGAGAGAGAGAGAGATATTGAGACCAGAGAGAGACTAGCAAGAAACCAGAGAGAGACTACAGAGAGACCAGAACGAGTGAGACTAAATAGAGACCAGACAAAGAACAGAGAGAGACCAGAATGAGAATAGAGAGAGACCAGAGAGACACCAGAGAGAGAACAGAGAAAGAACAGAGAGAGACCATAGTTGATATGCTGACCATATATAAGACCAGTTATATAAAATAACATATAGTGTATGTTAAAATTCCTAACTATGTTAGGAATTTTCTGACAAAGATTACGTGTACAAACTTGAATCTTTTATAATAATCATTTTAAATCAATATTGAGATCTGGCATGTACTGCACACATAATATTAAGATATGGATTATCTAACAGACAGACGCCTCCTTAAGGTTCCATGACGTTAAGATGGCGTCATAGTATTTCTGTTGCGTTTATTTCCCCTGCACAGTTTGATTCAGGCGGTTTGAGGATTAAGCTGCTGTGACGTGTGTCGCTGGTTTCACTGTATTCATGAGACACAGCTCTGAGCTTCACTCCTGAGTTATTCACAGTGACAGAGCGGCAAGAGCGGCTTCTCGTCATCTGCGTGGGCGACTGCACTGTGTACGTCAGCTGCTTTAGAGGTGGATAAAGAGAAGTGAGTGAAAGCATGAATACTACAGAGGTGCAGGGAGAGGCAGGGATGAGGGGTGGATTACAACTGAGATAGATCCATTGCAAAAACAGATAAGGGTCATAAAAAGAAAGGAAAAATAGAAAAATAGTAGTCAACATCATGCAGAGGGAGATCAGAGAGAGACCAGCCAGAGAGAGAGAGAGAGAGAGAGAGAAGAGAGACCAGAGAGACCAGAGAGAGAGAAAGAGAGACCAGAGAGACCAGAGAGAGAGAAAAGAGAGACCAGAGAGAGATCAGAGAGAGAGACCAGAGCGAGTCGGACTAAATAGAAACCAGACAAAGAACAGAAAGAAAACAGAGAGAGACCAGAGAGAGAAACCAAAGATTGAGACCAGACAGAGACCAGACCGAGACCAGCGAGCGATCAGAGAGAGACCATAGTTGATACTAAAACATATAGTTATATATACATGTAGTCATATAACATATACTGTAGAATACAACAGTGGGGGCTTCAGGCAAAGTGGGGTTAAGTGTCTTGCCCAAGGACACAATGACAGCAGTCATCAGTGGGAGTCGTGAAGTAGGTCTTGAGGTGGGCTCGAACCCACGACCTTCAGGCTCAAAGGCCAATTCTCTACCAACTGAGCTACTGTCGCCATACTGGAGGACAAGCAAACGCTGTATGATAGTGGTGTGCACCCGGGACCGCATAAACATGTTCAAAATTTTTGCCGTTTTTGGCTGCAGCAAAAGGAGAGACAGGGAAAATAAGTTATGTTACCGACTGCCAGCCGTCCTTACTTCACACGGCTCCAAAACAGAAGAAATCTCAAAGAAACGAGAGAGAAATGGCACAACCATACGCAACAACAAAAAACTAACAGCCTCCAGAGCGCTCGAATATGCTCGGATCATTTGATTTCTGCTAAGTAAAATCAATTTGATGGAGGATTTAGTGTTATTCCGAAACAAACAAGTTTAAGGATAAAACATATCTGTCTGACTGCAACGTGGGGTTGCTCCATAGACTGTAGCTTAGCTTGTAGCATAGCTGTTATATATTTGGTCTCACACAGGACCTCACCCGGCTCACAGGGTATCTGACTTACCGAAGGCCAGCAGACATGTGAACGACTGAGCCGTGCTCGAGGGTGCCCCGTACTAGTATTTATTAATAAAATATACGGCTCCTCACAGTAGACGCAGAAAGCTCCATTGATTTGAATGTAATCTCATTATTTCCACTGCAGTGTAGCCACACATAGATCCATGGTGTAACAAAAAACACATTAAATGTTAATCGGAGAATACATTATACATATACATTCTTAATACACGTGCACAGAGGTTTTCAGAATTTTCTGTTCACGTTTTCATGAAAAAACACTGTTTTAATGCGACCGCGGTGAACCTGGAAGTAACGATTAACATTAATAATACATTTTAGGAAGCATTTCCAGAGGATCTGATTCATGAATTTAGGTTGAGTATATATTTGGGTCACTAACTGCTGAAGTTTCAAATTCTCTGTTCAGTTTTCATGTAGTTCGAGAGAGTTCTAGTTTTGAACGTCCAGTTATAGATAGCTAGCAGGGCTGTTACTCGCCGAGGTTGTCCTCCAGTATGGCTGCCGTGGCTGCTAGTCACGTGACCGTAGGATCCCTCTATAGGAGCCAGAGCAAGTTGGAGCATCATGAGTACTTCCCTATTGAGCTTCACTGAGTTAGCTGGTTAGCATTAGTCCATCTGTATACAGTCAGTGTAATCAATATAGCACTAGATAGATAGATAGACCTTTATTGTCCCCTGAGGGAAATTCATTTTCACAGGCACTGTCACATACAGGTTACAATAAAGGTTGGGCGGCACGGTGGCTGAGTGGATAGCACTCTCGCCTCTCAGCAAGAAGGTCCTGGGTTCGAATCCCGGTCGGACCAGGGCCTTTCTGAGTGGAGTTTGCATGTTCTCCCCGTGTCTGCGTAGGTTTCCTCCGGGTACTCCGGTTTCCCCTACCACTAAAAACATGTCCAATAGTTCTGGCATGCGCCTCCTGTACTGGCGACCCTGCTCCCATCTCTGTGTGGAGTGAGAGACAAATGCCCAAAAAATTAACAATTGTAAACCGCTTTGAGACTCAGATCTGCAGTGAAAAGGCGGTATATAAATAAATACTTACTTACTACTTACTTACTACTAATAAACACAAGAGACACCGAAGGGAGGGAAACACATACAACGCAGGAACAAGGGCGACATTACAGACTGTTTAGAGCTGCTATCGCTGAAGGGACAAAACTTTTACTAAATCTTGCCCTCTTCCATCTTAGAGTTCTGTATCTGCGTCCTGAGGGCAGCAGAGTGAAGTGGGTGTGGAGGGGATGGTCTGGGTCAGTGCTTACTGTCCGGGCCATGCGTGTTACTGCTGTGAGGTTGAGCTGAGAGAGGTCTGCGGTGGGGAGACTGATGATTTTGGATGCTGTGTGTGTGACTTTAGTGAGTTTGTTTCTGTTGGTGATGGAGAGCATGTTAAAGTAACAGGGGGAGCAGTAGAGGAGAATAGGTTGAATGATTGAAGAGTAGAGTTTCAGAAGCAGATTTGGAGAGACAGAGAGGGCACGGAGCTTACGAAGGATGTAGAGTCTTTGTTGGGAACGTTTATGGATATCTGTGACATGTTGTTCAAAGGTGAGTTTATTGTCGAGTGTGAGTCCAAGGTATTTGAAGTAGTAGTCCAATATCACTAGTGGGTGATATTGGAGAGCGGTCTTTGATGTGACGGTCTGAAGTGGGCCAGAGGTGCTCATGTTTGTGTCTGCGCCTGCCCCAGTCTCTGTCTCCTGTAGTTTATGTGACAGGGGTGCAGCGAGTGTGTGTTTTTGATGTGAGCGTCTCTCCTCAGGGTCACGGTGACAGCTGTGTGATGGACCAGCTGCAGAGGCCGCCTGGCACAGCCCACGCTCGCCCTACTGCAGTCTAACACAGGCTTTGTGCTGTGGTGTAATGGTGGCAATGATGGAGACATGAGAAATGTGAGGATTACTGTAGTTTCACAATCACTCTCAAATAACACTAAAATCAAGATTTATTCCAGACTCAATGGATTCCATAGTTACTCCAGACTTACTACAGACATTCAGCAGGCTTTGCCATAAGAATACACAATGGATACAAGCAATGTTGCCAGAGCTCAGAGTAGCAGTAGTTAAAATCATTTGGAAAAGTTTGAAAATCTGAAAATACTGCAAAGTGCAATAATAATATTCCCAATATCAATATGACTTTTTCAGAATTCCATTGATTTGAAAGAGTTGTCAAGATGTATCCAGAATGCACTGCTCCTATCGCGCGAAAACAAGACCGTTCATGAGAGATGGGAGTTGGGAATATTTATTTTCAGCAATTGGAGACTAAACTCCAAGTGGAGATATGTCTACCGTACAATGCATTAGGCGTCTCTTTTTTTGGTCTCTCTATCTTGTCTCCCTCCGATTTCTATCTGGTCTTTCTTTGAACTCTCTCTGGTCCCTTTCTCTGGTTTCTCTCTCACTAGTCTCTCTCCAGTCTCTCTCTGTTCTCTCATTGGTCTCTCTCTGGTCTCTCTCAACTCTCTCAGGTATCGCTCTGGTCTCTCTCAAGTTTAATTCTGGCCCAATCTCAGAATGAAAGCGCCCCCTCCTGGTGTATGTAGGTCAGTGTGTTCTTGTGCCCTTACCCCGCGGGCTTGTCCACCTTCAGGAAGGCCTGGATCACCAGTGGAAACTCGTACTTCACTATGTACAGGTAACTGGACATGGCTGCAGGGAAAGTCACAGAAAAGAGGTTACACACAGCAGAACTACATTGGTCCCTTAATACAACACAGTTCACCTTTGGAGGCCTAGTTTTATGATTTCTTGTGTGTGCGTATGTGTGTGTGCGTACGTATGTGTGTGAGTGATTGTTACATTGTGTTTTGACATATCCTTCATGATACCTTTAAATTCTGCTCGTTGGCTCAAAGAGGGAACATGTTAATCCAAGGTGTGCGGGTGTGTGTACGTGCGTGTGGGTGTATGTGGGTGTGTGTGTGTGTGTGAGTGTAACAGAACAGATGGCCCGGAGCTCACCTCCAATGTTTTGCAGTGTGATGGCGATTCCGGCCGCCATTTTCCCCGGAGTCCCGAATGCTCTGAAGCCCAGCTGCTCGTAGGCTCGAATACCTGAAGGAAGAGCAAGTGAGAGCTGGTACCACAACCAGGAAGTACCATCACATTAGTCCTGGTCTCAGGTCTCTGCATTGGCTTAAAGAGTAGACTTTAAAGCAGCTCTGTTTTTGTACAAGTCACTCCATGGCCTTCAGTCTTCCTGACAATGTGAGACTGGTTTCTACTCAAATGTTCAGAATGTTCAAGTCCAGACTATAAACAGCTCTGTTAGCTGTGCATGCAACTGACGCATTGTAATGCACTGTGAATATTTATGATTTGAATGCCTTGTGTGACTATAATGTTTCTTGTTTCTTGTTTCATCTGATGCCATATAAACATACTCAATGGTGGCTGGTCAACAGGGGCCACTCTATGCACAGGTATTTGTTAAAAATAATAAATCTATTTACCTACGATCCCAGAACACTTGAGCAGCAGATGAATGGAGTATGAAGACAGCACCGCGACCACAGTGAGAAGTACTCTGGAGACAACACAGAAGACAACACCGTTGAACTATTAGCATTACAGAACAGACACGCGCTTACATGGTCAGAGAATATGGACTACGCAGGCTCCGGAACTCCAAGATGTCTGCCCTGGAAATCTAACATGTCTGCCCATTCAAATCAATCTTCTGTGCTCATTCCATTCCATGCTCCACAATTGACGTCCCAAACATTAGCAGAAGTAGAATTTTTCTCCTAGTGTTATGCCGGTCCTTTCCTGTCTTTCTCCTAATGTCTCACTGGTTCTATGTCTTTCTCCTGGTGTTATGATGCCGGTCCTTTCCCGTCTATTTCCTAGTGATATGCTGGTCCTCTTCTGTCTTTCTCCTAGTGTCACGCTGGTCCTCTTTCTTTCTCCTCATGTTAGTCCAGACCTCGTCTGTCTTTCCCATAGTGTTATGTCAATCCTCTGCTCTTTTTCTCCTAGGATTAATCTTCTCCTGTCAATCTTCTCCTGTCTTTCTGATGCTGATTGTGATGCATTTGTAGAACTTGTCTCAGTTTATGAAATTTTATATTATATATATATATATATATATATATATATTTATTGATTGACTGCGGAACCTTCCGCAGTCAACCATTGGTTTTGTATTTCTTTATTCCGTCATTTTTTTTGACACGTTTCACAGCTTTCACATTTTCAACAATTTCCACAAGTTATACATCAAAACGTTCCACATGTTTGGGAGATTATTGCTATTACTTTTGGGACTTCAGCGATTTCCGGTTTTTCCGCAATCGGACAAAAATCTGCATTGAGAATTCTGCAATGCATTTTAATAGGCCCATGCATTTTAATAGGACTTCAGCTCTTTCAGACATTTCTACAGTTTCAATGATTCAACAGTTTCAAGGATTCAACAGTTTCAAGGATTTCAGCAGTTTCAAGATTTCAAGAGTTTCAAGGACTTCAACAGTTTCAAGGACTTCAGCAGTTTCAAGGACTTCAGCAGTTTCAAGGACTTCAGCAGTTTCAAGGACTTCAGTGTAATCATGCAACCTAATAGGGATTTTTCCATGTAAACCAGTATAATGCAACTTAATAGGGATTTTTCCATGTAAACCAGTATAATGCAACTTAATAGGGTTTTTTCATGTAAACCAGTATAATGCAACTTAATAGGGTTTTTTTTCATGTAAACCAGTATAATGCAACTTAATGGGGATTTTTCCATGTAAACCAGTATAATGCAACTTAATAGGGGTTTTTACATGTAAACCAGTATAATGCAACTTAATAGGGTTTTTTCCATGTAAACCAGTATAATGCAACTTAATAGGGTTTTTTCCATGTAAACCAGTATAATGCAACTTAATAGGGTTTTTTACATGTAAACCAGTATAATGCAACTTAATGGGGATTTTTCCATGTAAACCAGTATTATGCAACTTAATAGGGATTTTTCCATGTAAACCAGTATAATGCAACTTAATAGGGATTTTTCCTTGTAAACCAGTATAATGCAACTTAATAGGGTTTTTTTCATGTAAACCAGTATAATGCAACTTAATGGGGATTTTTCCATGTAAACCAGTATTATGCAACTTAATAGGGATTTTTCCATGTAAACCAGTATAATGCAACTTAATAGGGTTTTTACATGTAAACCAGTATAATGGAACTTAATAGGGGTTTTTACATGTAAACCAGTATAATGGAACTTAATAGGGGTTTTTACATGTAAACCAGTATAATGCAACTTAATAAGGATTTTTACATGTAAACCACTATAATGTAACCTAATAGGGGTTTTTACATGTAAACCAGTATAAAGCAACTTAATAGGGATTTGTACATGTAAACCAGTATAATGCAACCTAATAGGGATTTTTCCATGTAAACCAGTATAATGCAACTTAATAGAGATTTTTCCATGTAAACCAGTATAATGCAACTTAATAGGGATTTTTCCATGTAAACCAGTATAATGCAACCTAATAGGGATTTTTCCATGTAAACCAGTATAATGCAACCTAATAGGGATTTTTCCATGTAAACCAGTATAATGCAACCTAATAGGTTGCATTATACCACCAGACCAAGACCCAAACGAAGACTCAGACCACCACCAGATAATGACCACAGACCAGGTTTCCTTAGTTACAGGAACCAAATTGTTTCAGCGGTGAGGGGATTTTTCAGTTTCAAGGACACTTTCAATACATTCAGTAGTTTCAAGGATTTCAACTGTTTAAGAATTTAACCAGTTTCAAGGATATCAGGAGGTTCAAGGATTTCAGGAGTTTCCACACTTTCAACAGTTTCCAGGTTTAAAAAAAGTTTCAAGGATTTCAGGAGTTTCAATGTTTCAACAGTTTCAAGGATTTCAGGAGTTTAAAGGTTTCAACAATTTCAAGGACTTCAGGAGTTTCAAATATCTATCAAGTATTTTAACAGTTTCAAGGCCTTTTAAAGGATTTCAAGGATTTTTTTTAGCAGATTTCCACATTAGATCTGTTCCGCAGTCAATCGCAATGGCTTCAGCCATTGCAAGTTTCTAGTTTTATTTGTTCCAGTGACCTCTCTCTTTTCCAGTGACCTCCCGCTATATTTCCCGAACGCTGTTGACCCAGGTGCGCCGCAGACACAGGCCGCACATACGTCGCACGGGAACAAAACAAAAAGTGTGTGTCTGCAGCTGAAGCTCTGATCTCTGACACAGATACAACAAACATCCACCGTCAGTGTGTAGGACGAGGACGGATCTATCCATGCGCACCGCTGCATGGCCGTGAAAATCATTTCATCCTCTGTGACAGCTTCAGGAAGTTTAAGGCTGAATCATTATGGGCCTACTATGTTAGAGCCATGATGAACCAACTCGGACTCTAAGGAGCACAGGGACTGGCCTACTGCTGGGACTCTGAAGAGCACAGGGACTGGCCTCCTGCTGGGACCCTAAGGAGCACAGGGACTGGCCTCCGGCTGGGACTCTGAGGCGCACAGGGACTGGCCTCCTGCTGGGACCCTAAGGAGCACAGGGACTGGCCTCCTGCTGGGACCCTAAGGAGCACAGGGACTGGCCTCCTGCTGGGACCCTAAGGAGCACAGGGACTGGCCTCCTGCTGGGACCCTAAGGAGCACAGGGACTGGCCTCCTGCTGGGACCCTAAGGAGCACAGGGACTGGCCTCCTGCTGGGACTCTGAGGAGCACAGGGACTGGCCTCTCCTGTCTTTCATCTAGTGTTAAGCCAGCCCTCTTTTATATTTCTCATTGTGCTATACCAGTTCTTTCCTGTCCTTCTCCTAGTGTTGTGCTGGTCCTCTCCTGTCTTTCTCCTTTCTCTTGTGCTATGCCAGTTTCCTGTTTGGTTGCCCAACTTAAGACAGCAACAGAGAAAGGAGGAGAGAGTATGCTCGAGAGGGTTCATCTGAATAAAGCCTGAGCTGACCGTACCATGTGGGGTCGTTTGGTTAGTAAGACTGTAAGATAAAGGACTATTAATGTCATAAATTGTAACCTGCACAGCCACAGCCTCAAGAATTGGTGAGCCACAAGATGTAAGGGTTACAGTAGTATAATCGGCCAGTACCTTTCGTTCTTTTGAGCCAGATAAGGATTTGGGAAGTATCCATTTTGGTAGATTTTGTGAATTGAGATGAAAGAAAGTTTGTGGAAGCGGATCCCTCCCTCAATGTGAGTCTCCCCGAGGTTTCTCACTTTTCTCCCACTGGCACATTCGACATTCAACAACATTTATGGGTATTTATAAACCTTTGCCCCTTATGCACCAATGTTTCTATGTGTTGTTTCATCATTGTATTCCCTGTGTTTGAAATGTTTGATTCTCTGATCTGTGGTGGCGAATCAACAACTTTATAAAGTCCTCCGAGATACCTACTGTGGGGATTTAGGGCTATACAAAAATACATTGAATTGCAGAGAATCCTCACATGGACGATGTTGAGTATCTCAGGGTCTTGTTCGAGAGTGAGGGAACATATCGGACTGTTGTGGGGAAGAGGGAGCAGCGTCTGCAGTCAAGGCTTTCAATGTACAGCTCAGTCTATGTGCCCTCCCTCACCTCTGGTCATGAGCTTTGAGTAATGACCGAAAGGACAGGATCACGAATACAAGCGGAGAGTGGTTGGGCTTTTCTTTTTCTGGTGCCATTTGACCAAAATAACCCAAAATAATATAATGATAAAAATGTGGCTCCAGACTCCATCAGACCTAATTCGAACCATTATCCTTCTCCCTTTTTTACTGTTATGCGGTTGTTGTGCATTCACTGGTCTGGCCCTGCACTCTGATAAATCTGCCCCTTGAGAACCCTCTGGCAGCAGGTTTTTCACCTCAGCCTAAACTCTTGGCTCGGTCACAGCGCTCTTTTGTCTGCGCTAGTTTAAACGCTGGAGCGGAGTGGCAGAGGGTGGACAGATCTGCTGATGCCCCGGACACTGCGATCGCTGTCCAGAGCCAGGACTCCTACACGGACCAGGACCGAGACCAAGACCTGCTCACGCCTCGGCATCATCAGGGGGTCGTCGTGGCAAAGGGGAAACACTCAAAAACTCAAACTATGCTGAGAATGCAACTACAAGGGTGTAATGTTTGGTTATTTTCACACACAGATGCAGAGGGACTGGGGCCGGCCGGCTGCCTCCCACTTCTCCGTCCTCCAGGTAAAAATAAGCCTCTACATACACTGCAAACCTGTGTTATTTCAAGTCACTTCCGTCTATTTGTGTACAGCCCCAAATCACAACTGCAGGACTATAAAAAGTTGATGATTCCTCAAAAACAGATCAGAGAATCAAGCAGTTCGAACACTGGAAATACAATAATAACAAATATGTAGGAGCCAGGGGTCCATAGGGAGCGGGATAAATGTGCATAAAAGTTCCAGATCATAATGTTCATTAGGTCTGCAGTCAGAGCGGTATCACACTGTTGTGGTGAAGAGGGAACAGCGTCTGCAGACAGAGCTCTCCATTCCCTCCCTGACCTCTAACCATGAGCTTTGGGTCAGGGCCGACAGGAGAAGATCGAGGCGTTAGCTGCTACTTTGAAATCGTCATTCTGAAACTTAAATTTGAAAGTGTTTTGGTGGCATTGAGTTCAGTCTAAACATCAGAAAAAACCGTAGGTCACACTTCTCAGATCAACGTAAGGGGCTTTCTCCAAATCCAGCACTTCAAACGGTCACAGTGTAAGACGCTTTTCTACAACGCAAAACTGAGAGAGAAATCACGCAGGTTTTGACCCCGAACTAAAATGTTCAGAGCTCATTTCTTTCTAATCCACATGAAACAGAAACTTTCACAAAGTTCCACATCTTTTTTGTCAGCAAATATCTAATATCAATGGCCACTCTGTGTTTGTTTTTATCACATTTCTTTCAAAACTGTCTCTGATCTGTTGTTGGCAATTCTTTACAAAAAATACATTTAATTGAAGCTGGTTTCTTTTTCGTCTTTTTCTAGTGTCTCTCCCTCATATCTCTGGTCAGTTTCTGGTCTCTCTGGTCTCTCTCTGGTCTCTCTGGTATCTCTGTCTGGTCAGTTTCTGGTCTCTCTGGTCTCGCTCTGATCTCTCCCTCAGATCTCTCTGTATCTCTCTCTGGTCTCTCTCTGGTCTCTCCCTCTCTCTGGTCTCTCTCGTTCTCTCCCTCCCTCTTTCTCTCTCTCTCTGGTCTCTCCCTGGACCTGCTAACCTCTTCCCGCTCTAACTCCTTAATCCACTTTCATAACCGTGCACAGACACAGAAATATGCAGACGTTAATGCCACCGGAGGAGTCCCCAAACCTCCAGTTATATTCTTTAATTAAATATGTGCATTCCTCCACCTGTACCTAAATCCTCTTTTTATTGTGGATTCTATATTTCTGGGGGGAAAGTCCAAAAAGTTGAAACAATAAAGTGGGAACAGCCCCAGTGACCTACCCCCTATAGTGGTGTGTATGAACCAGAGATCAGATCTGTTTCATTTATTCATCTCTTGAATAGTTCTCTTGTGCAAGACTCATAGATCAGAGAAATGGCAATAATAACAAACACAATGGAGCCAGTCGTCCACCCTCCAGAATTGTTAATAAAAGGCGGGATCATCACTGTCCTTAGACCCTCCTGCTTGAGCAAGTGGGGACAACAGTGAAAAACCTCTGGGTGGCCCATATTAAGAGAGGAAGCCGCTCCTAGGGATAGAGAGGGTGAAGATCCAGGACTGAGGCTGTAGAGCTAGGACTTCTCTGGTCTCTCTCTGGTCTCACTCTGGTCTCACTCTCTCTCTCTGATCTCTCTCTGGTCTCTCTCTCTAGTCTCTCTCTTGTCTGTCTCTGGTCTGTCTCTGGTCTCTCTCTCTAGTCCAGGGGTGGCCAACCCGCGGCTCGTGAGCCGCATGCGGCTCTTTGGCTGGTTCCGTGCGGCTCTCGGGCTTTCACTCGACAAGCGTCAAAAACGCCTCGGTGGTGGCGCTGCCTTTCATTCCATATGTAGTTCTGACCAATAGTAAAGGCCGACTTCACTCCACTAGCCAGGCCACCAAAACAATCTGACGTCGGCGAACGTCAATTCTGGTTGGTCAGATGCGCTGTCAATCACTCTGCAGCTGCTACCTCAGCTGTAGCAAATATCATAACAAACAACACGTTGCCTCGAACCATGACGTCCGTACGGAAAACAATTCCTTGGTCGCTGGATGAGGGCAACACCTTCCTCAGTTTGAGGAGAGGACACCAGCGTGAGCTCAATGGTTCCACCAGAAACCAGAAGGTGTTTGTGGAGCTAGCACTAAGGACGGAGCAGAATGATTCCCACAAACATGACAATGCAGAGAAAAGTTAAAAAGCTTAAAAGTGACAACCGTGAAATGAAAGATCGCAGCAGCAGAAGTAGAGGCAGACCCGAAAAGTCTGGAGGTGGTTTGACCAAATGGATTACATTTACGGACATCGGCTAACACCGGCTAACATGCTAAAACCAGCTAACAACAACTAGCATTACACCAGGAGATAAGCCAACTCTGCCTGGTGAGTGTCTGTCTTCAATCAAATGCAAAAGTATCTGGTCTTATACTGAACATGTGTCTGTGGTTCTAAATCAGCTAAAGTGGTGTTGGTGTTATGTGTCAAATCTATATCTTTTACTAAAGACAGTTGTGTTTCTGCTGAACACTGGGTTGAAACTTGATTTTTTTTTCTTGGTTAGAGATTGAAAGCATTCATTTCGGAATCATAATTGATGTTCGCTGACGTGAAATTGTTCTGGTATCGACTCGCCCGGTTAGAACCAGGGCCAAACCATTAATAAAAAGTACCGGGGAGCGGCTGAAGCGAGCGGTGGCCCGCAAACCAGGGAGAGTCGAGTCCAGCCCTTTAGTACTGTACGAGTCAATTTCTGTCATTATCATGTTGATGACATTTACAATACATCTGAGCAGAGCACACCTCTCTCTGCTCAGACAGATTGCATGTGTGTGCGCGTGTCTGCTCGTGTGCGTACAGTACGTGCGCGTGTGCGTGCGTGTGTAAGGGTTGGGGTGATGTTTATGTAGTGCACATTTGTATGATGTGGCTCTTTGCTGTAACACAGTAAAAAAAATTGGCTCTTAGTCTCTGACTGGTTGGCCACCCCTGCTCTAGTCTCTCTCTTGTCTGTCTCTGGTCTGTCTCTGGTCTCTCTCTCTGGTCTCTCTCTCTAGTCTCTCTCTAGTCTCTCTCTTGTCTGTCTCTGGTCTGTCTCTGGTCTCTCTCTCTAGTCTCTCTCCTGTCTCTCTCTGGTCTCACTCTGGCTTTGTGAATCTATCCAAGACTGAGGTTGTAGATCCAGGATTCTCTCTGGTCTCTCTTTCTGGTTTCTCTCTCTGGTCTCTCTCTCTCTGATCTCACTCTGGTCCCCCTCTGGTCTCACTTTGGTCTCACTCTGGTCTCTCTCTGGTCTCTCTCTGGTCTCACTCTGGTCTCACTCTGGTCTCTCTCTGGTCTCACTCTGGTCTCACTCTGGTCTCACTCTGGTCTCACTCTGGTCTCACTCTGGTCTCACTCTGGTCTCACTCTGGTCTCACTCTGGTCTCTGGTGGCTTTGTAACATGAAGCTATTTGAATCTGAAAGGTGTTGAATCTTCTGCTACTTCAATAATGTCACTTATTGCTGGTTATTGTCAGAATGTACTGTATGTGTTCATAATTGTTAAAAGAAAGAGTAAACTTACAAAAACGTGACGACTCCAGCGTTGGCCATGGCATAAGCCAGTCCCAGGATCCCACTCCCCATAATGGCGTTCCCCAAGTTGAATACGGACATCCCGAAAGAGGTCTTCCCTTCAAACTAGGCACAAAAACACAAAAAATAAGCGTTTTTTAAGGCCCCCTAGTGGACTTCACACTTTAATGTCAGTGCGAGAGTCTATGCAAATATGCTACACAACATTTTAAAGGTCATTCTATAAAGAAAACGTCCACGCCATTTATTTTAACTCATTGACTGCCATTGACGTGTTAACACGTCAAACTAAATAGTAACGTTGTCTGCCAATGACGTGTTAACACGTCAATTGCGTTTCCCGCTATTTTTACGTTCCCAGCTGTCCATTGAATCTAATATGTGGAGATTGGCTTGAGGCAATACTTTATGGAGCCAGCAGATGGCAGCATTGCGCTATGAATGGTTTGAACACAGCTAGATGCACTGTTTGTGGCCCTTTTTTCTCAGCTTTCTGGTGATTTCAATAAAACTTCCCTCTACTCAACTGGGGATTACAGAAGAACTAAACAAGATAGAAACAAAATTCTTTTTGCTGGTGAGAGTAGACAGCCCATTCTTTCAGAATCTAGTTTTAGATTTCAGATAGTCAAAGTACACAATATTCTGTGGGTCTTGAAAAATCAGTAAAAACCACCAGAAACGGCTGGCAATATGGGAGTACCTGTTTTGAAATGGGCTGGCAGTCAATCCATAAACATTGAACTCTGAATGCAAGTAATGCTTCAAAGTAAATATTATTACACCAAGTCTACAATACAAAGTCTCATTGCTTTTTGTCCAGTTTTTTTGCAGCTGAACACATTTTGTTTATAGAAATATATATGTAAGTGAGTAAGTACTTTATTTATATTCATATTTTACAGACCAAAGTCACCCAAAGCGCTTTACAATGTTCAGATAAGAATTTTACTAAACTCAGATTCAATAACAGTAATTATTTGGCTCCAATACAAAAAAATAATATTTATAAAAAGTCACAAATACAAACAATACTATGAAACTTTCCACCAACACTTGATTTTGAACATTTACTTTCTCACTAATGTTAAAGAATGAGAAGATGCGTGTGCGAGGGGAAAATAGCGTGTGCAATTTTAGTGGTTTCAGTCTAGTTTCAGTATCTCTGCGTGTGCATAGATCGGTTTGCTCCAAAGTTCATGTATTTTGCACACACACAAACACTAAATGAACGTAGCCCTTATCTCCCAGCTGCACCCAGACTCGACCCCATGCGGCCCCTGATAGATTGAGTTTGAGACCCCTGCTCTACAACATTCATAAACTTAACTTTACAGCGTTTTGAATTTCAGTCGAGATGTTGCTTACGTCTGTGAATCGCGGCGTCTTCTTGTCGTCGACGGCCAGAAACTCCTGGCTCTCGGGGAGGTTGGAAGCAGCATTTTCGACTTTGTTTGAACTGAAACAAGAAAAGATACAAGATTAGGACATGTATGTAGTCAATTATCTTGACAGTTTAAACATATAGAGCCATGCATAAAAATGTTTATAACTGGGACAAACATGTTGATAAAGCTCAGTTTCCACCAGCCCGACTTGGCCCTACTCAACTCTACCTGGTTGTGTTCAATTACATTTTAGTATCTGGTGCCGTATCCTAGCAACCTACCAAAAACCAACCAGCATTTATGAAAATTTCTTGGTAACAATGGTTTCCAGCCTCACTCTTGTCAGTTAGAACAGTTAGAAACTGAGTAGAGTAGAGTAGAGTCGAGCTGGTGGTACCTGGACATAAGACAGGCAAAATGAGTTTCCCCCACAAATGAAGGCATCTGATTGGTAAATCCCTATATGACTCATATCTGGATTTACAAAGACAATAACACATTACAAACACCAGGATCACAGAGAGCGCTGACCCACAGGTTTTAAAGCCCAAAATGGTGAGTGTGGCAAAAACAGTTATTGAGCTAGAGGAGTCCTATTGGGTTACATGTAATTTAGTTCATAACATGTAAGTCAATAGGAGCCAGAGCGTGTTGGAACCAAACTTCCCATAAGCACTTCCCTATTGGGCTTCATTGGGCTAGTGGGTTAGCATACAGCATCTGTACACAGGCTATGGACCAATCATGCGTTCACGACCACAGCGACGAGTGTTCGAGGATGAATGAGTGTCTCTCCTTCTCTAGTCTCTCTCTAGATCCCTCTCTGGTCTCTGTCTGTTCTTATTCTGGTCTCTCCCTGGTCTCTCTCTGGTCCCTCTCTGGTCTCTCTCTAGTCTTTTTCTGGTCTATCTCTGGCCCTTTCTTCGGGTCTCTCCCTAAAGTCTCTCTCTCTCTGGTCTCAATCTGCTCTGGTCTCCCTCTCTGGTCTCTCTCTCTGGTCTCTCTCTGGTCTCTCGCTCTGGTCTCTCTCTGGTCTCTCGCTCTGGTCTCTCTCTGCTCTGGTCTCTTCCCCAGGTCTCTCTCTCTTTATTGTCTCTCTTGTCTCTCTCTGGTCTCTCCCCCAGGTCTTTCTCTCTGGTCTCTACCCCAGGTCTCTCTCTCTCTCTGGTCTATTCCTCAGGTCTATAGGAGGAATGAGCTCATGAAACATGTACCTCGCGCTGTTGGCCACCGCTGCTTCTCTACGGATGTTGAGAAGAAAAAGCATAAATCAAGACACAGTGAAATAAACACCTCTGTCATATTAAACCACACCAGACTCCAGCCTCCCCTCCATCACCGGCCTTAATAGCATCATTCATTCAGCAGAACGAGCTCCGAGACACATGGGCAGATAAGATAATTGCACATTTGAAGGACATAATATGGAGGGTTGCAGCAGCTGTGAGAAACTGCATTGGATTGCTTCTGGGAGAGAGACATCAAAAATGCAGATTACAGGCGAGATTAAAAGCCAGAACGAATGGTGTCTGTTTGACGTACAGACAGTGAGCCAATAGGGAAAGAGGGGAGGGGTTTACAGAGGGATAAGAACTATGAAAAGGACACGGTAGCTGAGACATTACTCTGAAAACTGTTTAAATTTCACAATTTTCTTTTTAGTTTGAAACAATAAAACAACTCTTTGATCAAATCCATGTCACTAGTCCCTCGCTCTCAAATGTGTTGTTGGTCTCTAACACATAGCCAGTCCTGTCTCAGCCAATCAGTATGTAGTATTTTCTAGAAGATGATAAAAGAATGTTGTTGTTTTTTGAAAACAAAGAGAAAGACAAGAAAGAGGCCAGAAAATAGAGAGAGAGAGACCCGACAGAGAGACCAGTGAGAGACCAGAAACAGAGACCCGACAGAGACCAGAGACAGGCCCAAGAGAGACCAGTGAGAGACCAGAGACAGAGACCCAACAGAGAGACCAGAGACAGACCCAAGAGAGACCAGAAACAGACCCCAGAAAGAGTGACCAAATGTGAGGGTTCTTTTCACAAAACACATGGCTGGCTCAGAAAGAGAGGGTTTTTTAATAAAAACTCTCAGTAGAAAAAACAGTGGGAAATGTACAAAAAACGTATTTACAGAGCACAGTGAAAAGTCTACAGGCGAAAAGGATATTTAC